CTTCTGTAACTCCCAGGCACAAGAGTGGGATCCCATCTACCTACAAACAAAATCCATATTCTCAGCCAGGTGTGGCAGCTCACACCTGTAATCCCAGCATTTGGGGAAGCCAAAGCCGGAGGGACTACTTGAGCCCAGGAGTTAGAGACCAGCCTGGGCAACATAGTAAGACTTCATCTCTACAAAATATAAATAAGAATTAGCTAGGCATGGTGGCACATGCCTATAGTCCCAGCTACTCAGGAAGCTAAGGTGAGAGGATCATTTGAGCCCAGGAGGTCAAGGCAGCAGTGACCCCTGATTGTGCCAATGCACTCCAGCCTGGGTGACAAAGCGAGACTCTGTCTAAAAAAAAAAAAAAGATCCGCATTCTCCAACATAAGCTTTGTCAAAAACCAACAGTTATATTTTCAGCTCCTTTTTCCTTTACTCTTTTGTGCTATTTTTCAGTTGGTTCAGAACTCAGGGAAAGAAGGGCTCTATTTAGTGGGCCCTTTTGAATTTTCAACAGTGAGAAAGTTGGCAGAAGCCCAGATTCTTGTTAACTGCCAGTTATAAAAACCAGTATCAAGCACACCAAACTTTATAGACACCAACGGTTTTGCGGCAGGGCCGGGCCAAGCTCCTTTACAGTATGTAATTCACAGTAACACTCAAGCTCAACACAGCACCTGCCGGTGAGCTGACCCAAGTCCGCTCTGTGAGGGGGGCTGATTTGTGCCACGTATTCATCTTGAAATTAATGGCATTATGCTGGGCCCTAGAGTAGAATTTATCCCCTTAAAAAATTAGCAAAAAAAGCAAGCAATCTTCTTCTTCCAAATCCTAAATCTATCAGTCCAGTCGCTGGACATTGTATCTAAACTATACCTTAAATTCCTTCTTCACACATCTGAACTCTTTAGATATCATAAATCAATTTTATGTATGCATGCCTAGTCAACAACAATATTCTTTTATACTTTCACAATGACCCCTCATCCACTTTTTATCACCTTGTTAGAGAAATCGGCTAGAAATAATAAAAAGGTTTTTGGAGCTTTTATTGTGTGTTCCTAAGCTAATGTCTCAGTAGAAAGAGAATGGTTATCACTAAGCTAAACATAATTCATCCTCCCTCCCCTGGTTTCCAGTGTTTAGATCTGTACTTTGATGTTAACGTAACAGTCGGGTGGTGGGACTGTCTCCTGACAGATGGCATCGGTGACTTCTCGTGGGATAACCAGCTGGGTTGTACCCCTGCTCCCTTTTAAACTGTGCTTAATAACATGTCATCAGTTTTTTTCTTTCTTCTTTTTTTTTGAGACAAGGTCTCATTCTGTCATCCAGGTTGGAATACAGTGGTGCAATCTCCTCTTGCTGCAGCCTCAACCTCCTGAGCTCAAGTGATCCTCCCACCTCGGCCTCCTGAGTAGCTGGGACTACAGGCGCGCAGCACCAAGCCAGCTAATTTTTGTATTTTTTGTAGAGATGGGTTTTCCCCATGTTGCCCAGGCTGGTCTCGAACTCCTGGGCTCAAATAATCTGCCATCCTTGGACTACCAGGGTGTTGAGATTATAGGTGTGCACCACCATGCCCAGCCAACATCAGTTTTTTTTTTTTTTTTTTTCTGAGACGGAGTTTCGCTCTTGTTACCCAGGCTGGAGTGCAATGGCGCGATCTCGGCTCACCGCAACCTCCGCCTCCTGGGTTCAGGCAATTCTCCTGCCTCAGCCTCCTGAGTAGCTGGGATTACAGGCACGCACCACCATGCCCAGCTAATTTTTTTTTTGTATTTTTAGTAGAGACAGGGTTTCACCATGTTGACCAGGATGGTCTCGATCTCTTGACCTCGTGATCCACCCGCCTCGGCCTCCCAAAGTGCTGGGATTACAGGCTTGAGCCACTGCGCCCGGCCAGTTTTAAATAAGTTGGATACATCACTCCTCCTAGAGAAGATAGAAATATAAGGATGGCTCTTATATATAAAATATGATGGGATTTTATAAACTGAACCTAGAAAACACTAAGTCCTTGATGAATTAACAAATAAATGGGAAGGAGGAAGAAAGGAGTGCTCCTACTAGACACATCCCGCCATGCTAATCGCTGTGAGAAAGCCACAGTTTCCGGTAAGCACACTCTGCATCCTAACCCTCCGAATGTTAACTGGACAGTGGACAGAGAGTCAGCCATATTCTCTGACTTAAAGCCCTTCTTCTGAAGGGCTCCTGAGGAAGTTACTTTTCTAAGACTTGAATATCCAATGGTGACTTTACTGACCTTTTAAAAATGGCTGTTTCTCTAAGATTTCAGCATGCTAAAATCACTGTGGCCATGTCCCAAAGACTCCACATCTACTGTCTGTGCACAGTGGAAAAGCTGATAGAGCCAGTCATTCTGAGATATTCCTGTTACACCGAGAGGAAGTGGTCAAGGTCATCTGCTCTTCAGCACATGACTACATGCTTTCTATGAAGATCCGTAAAAACTGCTGACCCATGAGACTATCCTTGGGTCTTAGCACCAGAAATAACTGTGTGAAGCACTTGTCTGACCATTCAGTCTTTTAAAAAAACATATTTAAGGCCGGGCGCGGTGGCTCAAGCCTGTAATCCCAGCACTTTGGGAGGCCGAGGCGGGTGGATCACGAGGTCAAGAGATCGAGACCATCCTGGTCAGCACGGTGAAACCCCATCTCTACTAAAAAAAAAAAAATACAAAACATTAGCTGGGAATGGTGGCGCGTGCCTGTATTCCCAGCTACTCAGGAGGCTGAGGCAGGAGAATTGCCTGAACCCAGGAGGCGGAGGTTGTGGTGAGCCGAGATCGCGCCATTGCACTCCAGCCTGGGTAACATGAGTGAAACTCCGTCTCAAAAAAAAAAAAAAAAATTTAAACTTGTTTTTAAATTATATAAGGAACACACCTACTTGGAAAATTCTGAAGGGTAGAGAGCTTACACAGCACTGAAATGGTCTATTTCGGACGATGTGTGGCGGGCTTGCGGGTGCTGGTTTTATTGTCATGGTTCCTAGCCTGCAGATGCAGCACATGTTGTTTTGGATGCAGGAAATATTACATAATAAAAATTATGTAACTGCCCTCTCCTGCTTTCTAAGCACTGGGAATCATGTAACTGCTCGTGTTTCCCTTTTTGTACAGACTGCTAGAAAGCCCAGAGCCAAATCTGTAGCCTGCTTCTCTGGAGGTACAGTAACTCACGGCATACATTTTTTGTACTAACATTAGCCCTAGCTTACTTTTATTTTCCCACTCTTGTTTTCCCTTAACCACAATTTCTTTACTTATTTTTATTTTCTACCTTCTTATTTCTTATATTTTTTTTATCATTTCTCATATTTATGTTTTCTCATAATAAACTGCTTCTTCAAATCTACTTGAGAATTAGGTAGGGCATATATTTTCTTTTAAATACTAAAAAAAAAAAGGCTTCTGTTTATTAAGACTCTAATATTACATTAACGTGCAAATCCTTATTTAAAAGCTGCGGCTCTGACCCAGAGGGGTGCCTCGGGATCACCCAGGAGTTTCATTCCAAATCTGTACAGCTGGCTTCATAGGGCTTCACCTACCCAGCTTGTGAATGGGGCAGAGGTTGGCGTGGACTCCTGGCCCATGGGTTCCTGTATTTTGAAGACTTCGAGAGACACTGGTGTCTCCCCTGGTTACGAATGCCTGCCTCAAAACCATGGGCCTCCAGATGTGCCAGCCTAAGGAGGACACAAGATCATCGAGGTCATATTTGGCCTAGGTGATTCAGGGATGCATAACCTGAATCTAATTACAAGGAAACATCAAACACAAAAGGAGAAATGTTCTATTTTTTTTTAAAGGGAGAAAATTACATTCTTCTAAAATGTCAGTGTCATGTAACTCAAATAAAGACTGAGGAAACGTTTGAGATTAAGAGGCTAAGAGCTGTGCCAACTCAATGTGATAACTGACCCTAGATGATCAGAGGACAAGAAATACAATGAAGGACATTATTGACTCAAACTACCAAAACTGGAAGATGCGCAGTAGATAAGAAGGCTGCATCAATGTTAAATTTACTGAAGTTGGTAACTTTATAGTTATATGAATGTTACTTACCTTAAGAAATACACACTGAAGTATTTAGGAGTAAAGGTTGGTAATACATATAATTTATCCTCAAATAGTTTAGAAGAAAGATTTTGTGCATAGGTATGCATGCCCATGCGTGTGTAGAGAGACACAACAAAGAAAGGGGCAAATGCTAACAGCTGGTGAATCTGGGTAAAGGGTATACCAATGTCTGTTGTTACTTTCACAATTGCAATTATTTCAAGTAAAAAGTTAAAAAAAAAAAAAAAAAAAAAAAGGCCCCTGCTTTAGACCACACAACCTCCACTATGGCAGTGCTTTTAAAAAAGGAGAATGGGCCAGGCACGGTGGCTCATGCCTGCAATCCCAGCACTTTGGGAGGCCAAGGTGGGTGGATCACAAGGTCAGGAGATCGAGACCATCCTGGCCAACACAGTGAAACCCCATCTCTACTAAAACTACAAAAAAATTAGCCGGGCATGGTGGCATGCACTTGTAATCCCAGCTACTTGGGAGGCCAAAGCAGGAGAATCGCCTGAACTGGGGAGGTGGAGGTTGCAGTGAGCCAAGATAGCGCCACTGCACTCCAGTCCGGGTGACAGAGTGAGACTCCACTGCAAAAAAAAAAAAAAAAAGGCAGAGAATAAAGTTTCCATCCATTCCTACTGATCCCCAGCCCTGGGAGCCCCACTGAGTGGCTACAACTGGTAGACAGAACGCACCTCTCTCCTTACCCTCCCCAAGAGGCCAGCTCTCAGCTGTGCCCTCTTCAAAAACAGATTTATTTTCCTTCTACGAGTTTCTAGACTTCAAAAGCCAGCTGAAATGCAGCCTCTTGCATGTTATTTTCTCATGCTATTTTTAAAGTTACACTCTTTTTAGATTTGGGAGGAGAGACCACTGGCACCCTGCCCTGAGTACAGAGCCTCACCGTCCCGGGCCTCGTGAAGTCCACACTGTGTGCCAGGCTCTGTCGCATCTGGTTACTGAACAGGCGGACACAGACGCTCTGCAGGTACTCAGGGGTGATCTGCAAGGAGGACACAAAGACAACTGATGATGGCATGAAACTCACCGAGGGGCACCCGAGCCATGCTGGCAATTATTAGAGTGGCCTCACAACAGCTTTCTGTAAGGCACGATGATGAGGAATATAAGCTAGAAAAATAATCATTTGCTTTAACATCAGAGCTCTTGGGAGGAGTAAAAGCACTGGTCCTAATAGAACAATGTGCTAACACACAACAGGTGTGCTCATGAGACAACAAACTGCAAATTATGTAACTCTACTCCAGGTATCTCCACTGCAGAACAAACAGATCTCAAACCCTTTTGGTAAATTCATGGAATAAAGTCACTGGGTGACTATAATGTGGGGGAAAGAGAGCCAGGCTTCAAATCCGAAGGTCAGGGCTCAAGTACTGGACTCGAGAAGACCAATAGCTCTGCCTCTGCTTTCCACACCTTTATGGAAACAGCTGCCGTGAGGGGGTAAATGAGGTAACAGATATGCCTAACACATGACAGGTGGCTCCGCCAGTGCTTGATGACTGAATGATGGAGATGCTTTTAATCAACTATCCAGTGCTTGACAACGTGAGGCTGAGCTGCTGTGGCCATCAACGCTGCTGGCTTCGCATTCTCCTTCAGCATGTCTTGTGCCGCTCTCACGAGCTACAAGAATTCAGGATTGACATACATCAGAGATGTTAGAATTTTTTTCACCTCTTATATTTTCTTTTTAGAAAAGAAAGAGAGAGCTGGTGCCTCTCTCACCAGCTACAAGAGTTCAGGATTGACACACCACATCGAAAGTCTTGGAATTGTTTTCATCTCATATATTTTAAGAAAAAAATGTATGCGCATTTCAATGTACAAGTACCACAGCCCCTCCTGAATCCTACCATTCCTCAAAAAACCAATCCCTGCGGGAAACAACTATTAAAAAGTGTACACCCTTCCAAAACTTTTTCTAGGAATGACGGTTGGAAAAGAACCTCCTCTTCTGCAGCTTCTCGATTCCATCTGGGGGAATTTCCATGTGGCAGCAGAAGCAGCTGCTCTCCCACCCCTGCTCATCCACTTGCAGAGGAGAAAGGCCATCCCCCCAGGCTGTGTGGGAAGCAGGGCTACTCCACCCCTGGGGTGTTGGAAAGGGCTGGGCTCTTTTCTCTCCTCCTGGGCCTCCTGCCTATCTGCTAGAAACTTCTGGTCTGCTTCAGCCACATAAAAGGCTCCGTCCATCCTGTGGCAGGTGTCTGTCATCCCTTGTTACATAGCTACATGTGAAGTGACTTGGAGAAAAAGGGACCCCATCCCAGGGCTAGACCTGCTACATTATCCTGAGTCCATTCCCTCTGAATTCCTTTAGTAAATTTCTATAGTATTAAAATTTAAACATTCCTTTTTCAGGCCTGGCGTAGTGGCTCATGCCTGTAATTCCAGCATTTTGGGAGGCTGGGGCAGGTGGATCACTTGAGCTCAGGAGTTTGAGACCTGCATGGTTAACACAGTGAAATACTATCTCTAATAAAAATGAAATAAAAATTAGCCAGGCATGGTGGCACACACCTGTAGTCCCAGCTACTCACAAGGCTGAGGTGAGGGGATGGCTTGAGCCTGGCAGATTGAGGCTGCAATGAGCTGTGATCGCGCCACTGCACTCCAGCCTGGGCAACAGAGTAAGACCCTGTCTCAAGCAAACAAACAAAAAACATACCTTTTCATCCTGTAATTTTAACCTTTCTTTCTATACTTACTTCTTCCCTACAACTAGAAACATGTTCGCATATATTTCATATTAGAAACATACCTGCCCCATCTTCTACATCTTTTCTTTTTTTTTTTTTTTTTTTTTGAGCTGGCGTTTTGCTCTTGTTGCCCAGGGTAGAGTGCAGTGGCGTGATCTCAACTCACCACAACCTCCACCTCCCGAGTTCAAGTGATTCTCCTGCCTCAGCCTCCCGAGTAGCTGGGATTACAGGCAAGTGCCACTACGCCCAGCTAATTTTGTATTTTTAGTAGAGATGGGGTTTCTCTATATTGGTCAGGCTGGTCTTGAACTCCCGACCTCAGGTGATCCACCTGCCTTGGCCTCCCAAAGCGCTAGGATTATAGCCGTGAGCCACTGCGCCCAACCTACCCTAGATCTTCTTTTTCATCCTAGATCCTTGTCTATCAGCCTCCTCTCAACAGCTTCTCTTTACAGCCAAGGTCCTTGAAAGAACTGCCTGTGTTTGCCATCTCAACCCACCTTCACCTTTCAACACAATGTGACCAACTTTCTACCTGTGTTCCTCCATGGAAACTCGTGTGCCAAAGCTCACAACCAATGAACTTCTAAGTGTCAAAACCACTGGATGCTTTTCAGTCCTCTTCTTCTGGAGATTTCTGTGGCTTTTGAGATTTTGCATCAAACCCTCAGTCCTGAAACTGCTCCTTTAACTTCTGAAACTGCTAGCAGAACCATTTCTCTAACAAGCCAATCTCATCATGTCACTTTCTTGCTTAAAACATGAGAATGAGGAAAGAAAACGAATGGCTGAAAAAATATATGTATATATATATGGCTATAGCAAATAACAATATATGAAAATATACTCAGCCTCATACACAATTAAAGAAATCTAAATTGGCCAGGTGTGGTGGCTCATGCCTGTAATCTCAGCACTTTGGGAGGCTGAGGAGGACAGATCATAAGGTCAGTTCAAGACCAGCCTGATCAACATGGTGAAACCCTGTCTCTACTAAAAATACAAAAATTAGCTGGGCGTGGTGGTATGCGCCTGTAGTCCCAGCTACTTGGGAGGCTGAGGCAGGAGGATCGCTCGAACCCAGGAGGTGGAGGTTGTAGTGAGCCGAGATCGTGCCACTGCACTCCAGCCTGGGTGAGAGACCAAGACTCTGTCTCAAAAACAAAAAATAAATCTAAATTAAAATATGCAGAATGCCAAGTTTTACTTATCAAACTGACAAAGATTTCAAAGTTTACCCCAATTTAGTGCTGCCATGTGTGGAGACAGCTCCTCTCAGACACTATTGTGGAGTAGGCATTGTAGGCATTTTAGGACAAATAATTTGGCAACCTCTATCAAAACACTCATGCCCACACGTATCTTTGCCCTATCAGTTCCCATTTTAGAATTTTATCACGATGTACAGTATACACAAGGATGTTCACTGCAACATTTTTTGTTATAGCAAACAAAAAAACAAAAAATTTAAATGTTCATCACCAGAGCTCTGATAACAATTCACCTTTATAACGGGATCGTGTACAAGAATTAAAAATAATGAGGTGGGGCTGGGCAAGGTGGCTCACACCTGTAACCAAGCACTTTGGAGGCCAAGGCGGGTGGATCACCTGAGGTCGGGAGTTGAAGACCAGCCTGACCAACATGGCGAAACCCCGTCTTAAAATAATAATAATAATAATAATGAGGTGGATCTGGTCATGTGGAAACATCTCCAGGTTATATCAAAAGAGAAATAGCAAGTTTCAAAAGAGTAATGAATCATATGATACAACTAAGTGTACATATGCTGTACGCACGTGTGTACACATGCACACACACACATGCATATGCTGAGAAATGTTCTAAAATAATACACAAGACAATGTCAGTATTTTTTTTTTTTTTT